GGACCCAGCACTGATGGACCAAGCCCACGCACACCTGGTGTAAACTCGAAGTTTTATTTCTTTTTTGTCGATGCCAAGTCGGGGTTGCTTGGAACACTCAAGTTGGCCCACAATCGCCATCCAAAGATCAGCTGAACGCAGGGATCCTTACATTGTACACCTGAACATTGCCTTGTAAATGGTGGTGTCCGTTTAGTTTGGTGGAAAAAGCCATTTTTCAATTGGGCAAAATGTATCTTTTAAGGGGCCCTGCTACGAGTACGTAGTGGTGCCTTGCATCCGGAAAATGGAAGCCGAAAGGACACCACCCAGATGGCTCTGTTGTTTTTTTGTATTTTTTGGTACCCCTTTTTGGGCGTGCTTTAAAGGGAATCGAGCGAAACCAACAGGAACGCCAACATCTTGGGTGCTCCCAAAAAAAGACACGCCCACATATACCATCACTCCTCCTAACTCTACATTGATTAGGTCCTCCAGTAGAGAGGTTAGAATCAGGGTACCCTTTTTTCTGTAGTATATTTTGATAGGGGAACCCTGCCCCAAAAAAGGGCAAAAGGGCACTACTGAAGCACCTAGTTGAAGTCTTCCTGGGCATGGGAACCGGCAACTCGCTGCAAGCTGCAACCTGGTTACCTTCACCAGGTCACAAGGTACTTCTGGCAGCAATGCGGCCAATCTTTGATTCCAACAACACATTCTCCCCCATTTGGCTGTCGCAAAGCAGAGCTGTGGGGATAGCCCTTCAATCAAACGCGATGAACATCCGCGCAAGGACGCCGGAAAGAAGAAGACCTTTCGAAGTTGGTTCAAACATTGGTGCCCAACCTCATGGCACCAACTCAAGTTGTAGCAGGCACCACAGCCACGGCCGGGCTCAGTAGAGTGGCACAGAAGGCCCATTGCCTGACACCTGGACATGACCTTGGGAACCCAATTGACCCATTCAGGGGGTCCGACCCAGGGCCGGACCCCTATACTCTCCCTCGTCACACGGAAACTCACCTTGAATGGGCTACCGAAAGGTGATGTTTAAACCTCCCAAAGAGCAAGTACAGCTGAAAGCCCTTTTGGTTCGCCAACACCAAACTGTCCGTTTGCCACTAAAGTTGTCCGAACCCAGTGGCTACAGTCCAGGGCAGTGAGGTTTGGGTGTGTCTTTTCAAAGCTTGGACCCCCAAACTGGCTTCGGTCCTCGTGGATATGGGGGAATTCCCTTGGCGCCATTTCCCATCTCAAACTTTGTCAAGCTGCATCAAGCGGGAAATACCTCTCGTATCCCTGGTTCCCCCCGTATCCCTGCTGGTTGGTTTCCTTGACCCACAACCCTCCCCCCTTGGTTTCCCATTTAAAACCAGAGGGTGCCCTCCAAAAAGAAGACGAGCCACCGTGAGCCACCCATTTAAAACGGGTGACCCCCCACAACCCTCCCCGTTCCGACCATAGGTGTCCTTTTTGCGAAATAGATGGCCCTGGTAGATGATTGTTCAGAAGGTAAACCAGGAATCGCCCTCCATCTTTTAGCAACCGCCTGAAACTTGGCTTCCCATTCTTTACCAGGGGGCACCCTCCAAAAATAAGACGAGCCACCGTGAGCCACCCATTTAAAACGGGTGACCCCCCACAACCCTTCCCGTTCCGACCATAGGTGTCCTTTTTGCGAAATAGATGGCCCTGGTAGATGATTGTTCAGAAGGTAAACCAGGAATCGCCCTCCATCTGTTAGCAACCAAAAAGGACACCTATGGTTCCCCCGTTCCGCCTGAAACTTGGCTTCCCATTTAAAACCAGGGGGCACCCTCCAAAAATAAGACGAGCCACCGTGAGCCACCCATTTAAAACGGGTGACCCCCCACAACCCTCCCCGTTCCGACCATAGGTGTCCTTTTTGCGAATAGATGGCCCTGGTAGATGATTGTTCAGAAGGTAAACCAGGAATCGCCCTCCATCTGTTAGCAACCAAAAAGGACACCTATGGTTCCCCCGTTCCGCCTGAAACTTGGCTTCCCATTTAAAACCAGGGGGCAGCCTCCAAAAATAAGACGAGCCACCGTGAGCCACCCCTTAAAAAACGGGGTGAGCCCCCACAAGCCTCCCCCAACCGCTGTTCCGCTCCTTGCCCTTGTACACAAAGGCCTCCGCAGCCATCGGCGTGCTCGCAATCACCGCGGCGCCAGCCACCGCTGCGCTGGGAGCCTCTACCCGGCTCGGGGCCTGCAGGGCTTCAGCGAAACCGCCGGCTCGAAACCTGGTCCAAACCCAGTGGTTAAGAGCCAAGTGAGCGACTCTATAAACCTCCCATGAATCCCTATGTCGTATCAAGTTGCTTACGCGCAAGCTTGCGCTTTCCTTACGCGACCCATGTTTTAGCTTACGCGGCAGTCAGACAGCATGTAAAGCTTACGCATCGCTTACGCGTCGGCGTTTTGAGCGTTTCCCCTCAAGAATTGCTTACGCGGGCTTCTTTTCCCGTGCAGCCGCCAGAACTGTTGAAGATGATGTGGATGACTGTGTGGAAGAGATGACGAAGAACTGCGCTCGCGAGCTTCAGCAGCTTGGCGTTGTTGTTTTTGTTGCAAATCAAGAAACCCGTTTTTTGCGGTAGCGGCATCCATCACGAGGGCTAGCGGGCAGCTGAGCTAGGCGAGCTTACGCGAACCTTACGCGCCTGCTTACGCGAGCTTACGCGCCCGCGCCCCTGTAGTTTTCCTAAATCAGCGGCTACTGAAGCCTTTGTTTGTCCTAGTGGAGGTTGCGACAGCACCTAGCATGAGCCCCAAGAGCTCCCAATCAAAGTTCTGTTTGTTGTTTTTTTCCCCTAATGGTGCGCACATGCGGTCTTAGACGTCTTCCTGCAGGCAAAGTCCTCCGGGCAAGTTGCCAAGCTCGGCTAGGTTGCAACAGCACAAGCCACCAAAAAACGCATAAGCACATGTGGGACAACTCTTCCGAGCATGTTACAAAGCTTACCAAGCAATGACGAAGAAGAGCTTACGCAGGTGCTTACGCAACATGTTTCCCCAAAAGTGCTTACGCCCGCTTGCGCCGTGCAGGCTTTTGCTTACGCGGGGCCTTGTTATGACACAACTCTTGCTTGGCATGTAACGGGGGGTTTTTAGAGCTGCTCAAGTGTTTTTTGTTGTTGTTTTTTTTCTATGATCTTTAAACCATGCTCGAAACCATTCCCAACAAAGACATGAAAGCTTAAATCATGTTTTTACACCAACCCCTATGATCTTTCTCCAAACATCCTTCTCCCTGTACAAAGCCCTGGCCACCCAAAAGCTCGGCCTGCACGAAGGCAAGGTTGGGCAGGAGCCAGAAGAAAGCCGCGGCAGCCTGAGTCCAAGAAAACATGGCTGTGGCTCCTGACCTGCCCTCAGATCCCCCGCTCAAAGGTTTTTTTTTTTTTTTTACTTAAGTGGGTTAAATGGAAACTACCACTAAACACTAAAAGCCTAAAAGGCCAAGGGGATGGCTGGGAGCCACCAAGGTTCCTGTTTTAAGTTGGACCCCCCACAATGGCTGCGGTGTTCCTGCTGACTTCCCTGTAAAAATAAGCCCAACTAATATCTGCCAACAGCCAGGAACACGCTGGAACCGAATCTCCGGAACCGTCCCTGAAAGACGCCCTAAACCACACCAGAGCTTATTTGGGCGAAGATTAAAAGGGAAAACCCTAGAACCGAATGTCTGGAACCGTCCCTGAAAGCAGCCCTAAACCACCCCAGAGCTTATTTGAGCGAAGATGCAGCGGTTGGGGAAAAAATGCAAAAAAGGGCAGGCCCTCGAACAAAGACAGACCCATGATTGAAACAATATGGCTAGGTTGTTGAATGAGGAAACCGTCCCCAATGGTTGGTGGACACAATCCCGACCTAAATGATGTCCACCAGAGGGTCCCCAGCTAAACTTAGCAGCCATATCTGACCACTTCGATCTTGTCAAACAAATGCCTTTGGATGAATGGTCAATTGGGCTGCAACAGTGGAATCTATTCACTGTCCCGTCTATCCACACCCGGAGTCCAAGAGCGCTCAAATTGAATTCCTACTATAAGCATGGGAACATCATTGAGCCCCCCCATGAAACCTCCAACAATGGCAACAGACAGAAAATGGGCTCTTTCTTGCTGCGTATCGCGTTTCGGGTTGCCTGAAAGGAAAACCAAAGTGAACACATAATCTTGGGATATCTTGGGGGTCCCCCTATTTTAGGACACCTCCATGTTTTGACCGAACCCGCATAAAACCCCCCGGTCTGGACAAGGCGCAAGGACGCACACACCAGCACGGGCCATGGCTACAATTTGCGAGGGCGTGAGCGGAAGGAGCGACTGCGAGCCAAAGGGAGGCGACTGCGCGGAGGGTGTGGATGCTCCAAATCCTGCGCCAAACGTTTGATAAAGCCTTGTGAATCTTATGAGTGCTCGTTGGTGAACGACCCAAAGTGCAAACCCTATTTGGAATCCTCCATTTGCAAAACAAAAAGTCCCCTGCAAAAAATGACATTTCCAGCAGCGATAGATTCCCTCTACAACCAACAGGGGAAAATAATATATATATATATATAGATATTAAACTATGATAAAAGTAAAAACAAAAAACATATTCTTAAGCAAATGGAAGGAATGGTTGCATTTCACGGATTTCCCTTTTACCTCAGAGGATGAGACCTACCAACTGGGTGCAAGTGTTGCTTGAAAGGTGGGGCAAACGGCCCCGTTCCCAGGAGAATTTGGGGAACCCGGAGAGGACCTGGAGAAAAATCGCTCCGCTCCGATAGCTGAAGCCGCGCCGTGTGCCCATCGCAAAGTTCGGGTGAACCAAGCGCCTGGATCAATTACACTTGAAGAGGCTGGGTACCTGGTGCAAGTAACCATGGTTCTAACCAACTAGATGACTTACAATCATAATAAGCAGACTTTTGGTAGGCCTTAAAAAGAAACACCCTAATAGACCCCGCACGTCTCTGACAACGAGGGGCGTCGCCACGTCTCCGGCCTCAGGCAGAAGCTGCTCCCGGCCAAGAAGCGGCGGGAGTTCAGGTGCAGAAAGGGCACCGCGTAGAGCCCGGCCTATGTCCCGGTCACCCGAGCTGGGGTTGCCGCTTTGTGGGGTGCAGTGGGGGGCTTTGGTGCCGGGCTTCGCCGTTTTTCCGGGGTGGTGGGTATAAAGAGGAAGAAAAGGACACCAAGTTTGAGGGCGCAAATATCTTCATGCGATGAACCCACTTGGAAGTGGGTAGCTACGGTTCTGTTCCCTTCAAAGAGGTGTGGGTGTTGCTCCATTGAGTTTAAAATAAGTTTGTCCTTTTTTGAGGGCGGGGGGGACGCCCTTCTGGGAAAAAGAAGGGGTTTAAAGAAAACAGGAACTATTGCAACAAGTTTAGGGGTCCCCTAATTCAAAGGTACGTAAACAAGGTACCCTTACCAAGATCAGGGAACAGGGAAAACACGCCACTGGCTGAGGTCCCCCAATTTGGAGACAGATGTTGACCCTGGCTTGTTACAAACCGGACACATGTCATGAGTGCACGCTTGAGTCAAGGATCCCCTCTAACATGGGACACCCTCCCTTGGGATTGGCTCCTCAGTTCGGATAGAAAGGGGTAGTTTGCGTTCTCGGCATGCAGCAGCCTCTGTTGCGGATGTGTTTATTATTTGTCCCCCAATTCAAGATTAAACTCAAGTCAACTTCAAGAGCCTTGGTGTGAGGTATTTCTTGGGCCAGCAATCCAGGGAGGCCGCCTGAGGAAGCTCAGTCTCAACCTGACTGCCTGACAGCCTCTTGCCAAGGATCTCTTCCTGTACCCCAATAACATGGCCGTAGGAAACGAAACCGGGCCGCGTTGGGAACGTATCTAGAAACCAAGGGTATATTCTGATGACACCCAAGATTGCAAGGAGTACCTCCTACGTTGCTAACCGACCACGGCGCATTGCAAGCCGGCCATTCCCATTCCCACCCAAGCCTCGGCAGGCACGCAGATTGGGTGCCCCGGCACGAATCGCGCCCACCGCATCCTCCACCAGGATGTGGGGAGCATGTTCAAACGGCTTCCCTTGGAGGAAAAGCCTCGGGAATCAGGCGGCAGCTCAGATCTCGAAACCCCTTGCCCTTATTTTGTGGCTGACTGTAGGGTGAAAGATGGCGCAACTCTCTAGTCTGGGTAAGTAAAGGGATGACTAGGCCAACATGGAAGAAGTGTGCCATCTATTTCACCCCGCAAAAATAGACTCGAACATAAAACATCGTGCCCAAGGGTAGGTTTTGACACAGCATTGTCCAAATGCAGTGGTCTTGTGGCTCGGAATGGCACAACTTCAGGCGCGGTCTGCGTTTGTCAGGCTTTGTAGGCCTCCAACCTGCAGACTGCAACTAAGGGGCTTCCCTGCAATCTAATCTAGCCTAGGATGTGGTTACAACTTCCCACAAAGCTTGCTTGATTCATGGAGCCCACAAAGTTGCTTGCCTCCCCAAGAGGACATGGGAACATTGGGTGGCCCGTGTCTTTTGTTCATTGTATGTTTGCGGTGAACTTGGATTGTCTTGCACGGTGAAAGGGTCGGTGATTTTCAAGCGGGCAACTTACTATAGTACTACTTATCACACTGAAGGGAAGCCTTGCCCCGGCCAAGGGGACAGCAAACCCACCCAGAGCCGACTTAAAATGGCGGGATATAATCAGAGTAAGTAGTACCCTTAATAAAAAAAAAAAAAAGGAAAAAACCTCCTCAGGAACCGAAAACAATCCACCAAAACCGGGTTCACACTCCGAATCTGCATCATCCACTCCAAATCTCGCGAACCTGCGCTCTCAGCGCCCCGCGTGAAGTCTGCAAAACCCCCGTAGTTGCGATCCATGTGCGTCGCCTAAAGAGGCGACATCCTTGACCCCTTCCTTCCGAGGGGCGACGTAACCCAAAGCAAAAGGCAGGCCCCCCCTGCTTTGTTTCTCAAAATGCTATTAGGCTGTGGGTCAAAATAATTAACCCCAACATGGAGCTCAGGCAAATGGTTCAATTCACCAATTCACGACTTGGTACCAACTCGCCATGAGCTGCTGTGAAGCTGTTGGCCAACCGTTTAAACCAAGCTACATTCGGGAAAACTGCAACATGCCAGAAGAAGCCCTTTGGAGCCAACCTAACTATGGTGGCTTAACTTGGACTCATACCCCCTTGATTCTTTACTGCGAGTCCCAACCTTTGTCCCCATCGCTTGGCATTTGTCTGAAATGTGCCTTTGCAACACCAACGCACTGAAATCAATGGGCGAACCCACCAACCCGCCGAACAATGCTGTGGATACAAGCTATCCAGGTCTCTTTCTGGGTGTTAATAGGGGGTCTGGAAAAATGGACAAATGAGCTATCCCCTTTCAGTTTTTGTTTGAGCAAATTGACGATCCTTGGCCAATTCGCGAGGACTTGGAGGCGAAATGAAAAAGGCATTCCTAATATGTGTGTGTTTTTCAGGGCACCCTTCTTCGGGGTCGGTTGTTACCACCTTTTTGGTCCGTTTGGTAAGTTCGCATTTTGATCCTTGTTGAAGCACGACTGGGTCCAACTCTCCTTTTGGTTGATATGTTGAGGGACCAAACGGAAACCAGCCATCTAGGGGCCCGATTCCTATCCTGTTCCAACCCCAATCGTCCCGACTGGGCGAAGTGAGGGACCGGTCGCTGCCCTAAACTTCGGAGTTTTGGTGAATCCCAAGGCCCCTGTCAAAATTCCTGAATATTGGTGTCTCAAAATAGGAGACCTCTAATCTCTAAAGTTAAGCTCGGAATAATTCAGACCGTACTGATCCGAGGAATCACCCAAACGTGAATCCACCGCGCTGAAAGTGAGCCGCCCTTGGTTTGTGCGGTCTTCTGGATAGGCGGCATTATTACAGTTTCCATGTCAGCTTCCCTTTGCAGACTATCCAGTAGTTCACATAAGCACAAAGCAAAGCACATCCTGCGCAATGAAAGGCACAATGACCGCATGCACTGGTACCTACAACGGATTTCCGGCACCAAGACAAAGCATTGAACTCCTCAACCACCAAACACAACCTAATTCAACACACACACACACACACACACACTCACACCCAGCAGCAAAAAGCAGAAACAGCACATAACACGTGCATCCAAGCAAATCGAGCCCAAGGCCAGGCGACCACACCACCCTCCCTTCGTGCCGGCGCCAGAAACCGAAACCGTGCGGGCCGAAACGGTCGATTCGGGGGCCCGGCATAGGCTAAGGACTCCATGGCGAGGTTCGGAAGCTCCTGGAAGACCACCTGACAATCAAAACCCTTTGGTGGAAGGCGAGAAGGGACAATCCCAGCCAGAAACAGCCGCCGCCTTTGTATTTCCTTAGGTTCTGGGTCAACCATTTTGATACCGGGTCTTGATTGCTCACCTCGGCTCTTCAAAAAGGCGTCGCCTTAGGGCACGCTTTTCTTCGGTTAGGGGCACCTAAAGGAAACAGTTCTGCAGAAAGGTGCGGTTCCTATTTTTGAGGGCATATTTGTTCGCTTGGCTAGGGACACCAACAGGAAACTCTTGCTTGTTGTGCTTTGAAGAGCTTCCGATTCCTATTTGAGGCAAACCCATACAGGCTTCTTAGTTCGGAAAAGGGTGTCCTTCATTCTCCTTTTTTGGCGGTCACCAAACAGGTGGGGGCGTTTTTTGAGGTCGTGAATCGGTGCTTTCCGGGCTTCGAAATGGGATATGTAACCTCCGAAATGGGTGGCTCGAAGCAGTCCCACCATAAAAGCCACACTGACTTACCAAGCAGGCGCTAAATGATGGGACCCCACAAGGACCCAACCGGGGACTTGTTACGCCTGATCAGGCACTGCGTTCTACTCCCCTTTTGGGATTGGGGCAGGAGGCTGTTTGCTTGCAGCATCAGACATGAGGGGTGATGGACTTGTGGCAGCAATGGATTTCCTTTACTGCTGGATGAGTTCTTCTAAAATACCAGAGCATGGTACTGAGCATGGACAAAATCTGCGTTGCACCAGTCGGTAGGTGGCTTATCCCAGCACTCATAGGGATTCCTCCATCCCAAGATAGGAGAGCCAGCCAGAGGTTGTTTGTATCAGCTTCCCGCTGAAGTTTGATCAAGAACCACCTGTGCTTGTTTTTGTTGGCCATGGTCACATTGCAACCCCAGCGGCCAAATTACAGGAAACTCCAGCATGCCCGATCTGAGACTGCCCGTAAAAGGAAGCGGTGGCTGGAGAAAGCCGGCGGAAATCAAACCGCCGCAGCATGGCGGTGTGACCTTGGAACATGTAAGCCTTACTGATATACCTACGGATATATAGATATATAATAGATAATGGCATCCAGGACCGAAGCTTCTCAAGACTTGAGCCATTCCATGGATCAAAACCCCGTACTCGTGCACCTACCCCAAACTGGTACCTTTCCTTTCCTTTCCTTGCGCAATGAGTCCTGTCGGACGCAGCGTGTGCAGTGAATTAAGCCGGCGACCCCGAGTCAACCGGTCATCCCGCAAAGTCAGGACCTTGCTCCTCGGAGAGGACCATACTAGCATATTCAGCCAGCAGGCCTCCATCAAGCTCCCTGATTTCAGGGTCACTTGCTACACGGCTCATGGCACCATCATGAAAACTCAAGGCAAACCCACGGCACAACTGAGAGGGATACTCCTTAAGGCGTGCAGTATTGTACTGCCCCTGGGCATCCTTACCGGTTGTTTTGCCTATGGCAGGCCTCTCTGAAACAGGAACCTGGGTTGAGTTGATGATACGCTCAAACTGCGGCAGGTTGCCTGTGAGGAGAGTAGTGGGCTTTTTGGCGCTTTGCCCCCAGTTCCATTGGGCTACACGATGTGCCTCGACCCCTACGAGCTTTTGCAGCCACAGTATGGCTGGAAGCTGCCAAATCGAAGGGGCCTCCGGGCCGTCCAGATGAGCCGGGTGCTCCCCAAAATGGTACCATTGGTTTTAACCCACAGCCATTTCCCAAACCATACCACATCCGACCACAGGTTGGGGGGGTTGCCGACAGACCCTGGATTCATTTTGTCTCTCTTGGCCGCCGGGCGCAAGGCGCAGCTGCCAGTTTGAGCCTCAAGTCCTGGGCAGGAGTCGGGAATCCGTTCGGGATGGGTGAAACCCTTTGAACGCCGCCAAGCGGAAACTTCCGTTTGCGTTTTCGCCCCTGGATTAAGGTCAAAATATGTCCAGTGATACAATTCCCAAAAAAGAACAACTAGGGAAGATAAAACATACTAAGCAAATGGAAGGAAACTCACCAAGGGGATGCTTAAAACCTGGAAATACAGGGACCCCTGGCAAGATTGCAGCAAGTCCTGGAGCCCGCACTTGGCGTAGATCCACAGCCTTCGTGGGATCGCGCGAGCGACGTTGCCCGGCGATAGAAAAGAAACAACGCATGAAGGAATAAACTAGTTGCGCAGCCCACTCAAGATGGCTGGGCTCCTTTCTCTCTGGCAAATGTGTATATATATATATATATATTTATAAGTAATATATGTGTGTTTTGTTTGAAGGCGGACACTGTTCTGGAACCATACAGGACAACCACCATTTTGGGAGTCCCATATTTGTTTGAAGGATTTCCAAGAGAGGCACCTGCGTGGGGAAGGTTGCTCTGCCGAAGTTGCAGTTCTTGTGCCTCGCATCTGAAGGAGGAATGCTCTGAGCACCTTCGCATTCGCTTCCGCTTCATTGAGCTCCAATTGTTTGGACAAAATCCTGCACCTGTGGGACTATGAATACTGGGTTAAAGCACCTTCCAACAACTGGTACAGGATTTTCTTCATCAACCGGGTGTGCCTCAAAAGTAATCAGCCAGGGTTACGCAGGTTTTAGTCTTTGGTTTCATTCGCCAAGGTGCCATTTTGGGTTTGCATGTCTTTGAGCCATTGACCTCTGTGCTCCTGCGACAGGTGACCCCCAGGCAGAATTCCCCAACAGCCAGCCGGCAAAAGGCGAAAGCCGCAAGCATTCGCTCTGCCAAGCATGGCAAGCAATTAAATATGAGTTCCATTCCGGCGCATTATGTAAGATGAAACTCCAAAATAG